GTGACAAAAGTTAAAAATACAATCTCCCAAAAACTGCGTGCGTACCGTGCAATTTATAAAAGTTGTATGATTTATAGATCAATTAGAAAGTTTCGTAAGGAATGATTCATCGCGTTGTTGAAATTCCGCAGCTCATTTTAGGAGGATCATGAAATTTCACATTACGAACATTCTATCGTGGTGATCGCGGTTTGAAAAACAGACAATTACAGTAAAACTGCCGAGTCATGGTGCGAGAATACTTTCGCAGACGCGGATTAAAGTAAGAACGACGGGAATAAGAGTAAGAAATGGCGACGCCCCTTAAGTGAGCACGATAGAGCAACCTCGGTGGTGTATTATTCCAACGGACACGCGAAATGAAAAATGAGTCCTTATAAACGTGAGTCTTGTGTAGAGATGGAGCCGGAAAGCTTCACATCGTGTTACCGAAGACGAGAAAGTCGACTGCTGAGCTCGAATGCGACCGAGTACAACGCCGTGCCATCCGTTTCATTAATAATTACAGCTTGTGTACCCGCGAAAATTACTCCCTTTATCTACCCTCGACGAGTACCCACCCTCTCATATGTTCTGCCGACTCCTCCCCGCTTTCTTCCTTGATTCATCTCAACCCTCTGTCGCGCTATGCGTTCGTACCTCGTCTTCACTCGGTATTGTGTTTCAAGTACTTTACTAGCATTTTATGCACCATTGCGCATGAGATAATTATTTGTAATAATATACATACGGTGTTCAAAGTCTCGCATTAACGGAATTAACATGTACTCGTATTACATTGCTCATGGGTTTGCTTAAAAATATGCAAAGATTGGTAATTGACATTAAGACATTCGCAATGCGAAGGTATTGAAACAAGAACACTTTGATCGTTACAAGTCAAACTGTCAAAAGATAATAATTGTAAAAAGCATCTCCAATCTCATATTTACAATACAATACATTAAGAATGTTTGTAAGTACATTGTCAAGCGGAAGGCGGCGTTGTTATTTCACTTTTATATTACTTTTAAAGCTTTCCAAGTTGCACCGCTTGTAATGAGAAACTTGGAAAACATATTGCGGCCGTATTAATGGATTCCGGTATACATTTCCCGGTTTACGTGTTGTGCGTTTATCGCATTGCGAATTCAGGACAGAGCCGAGAGACGTTCGTCTTGTCGTCCGCTCGTTGGAGACAGATACGAAACTGCTTCAGTCGGATAATATCCGTCGCCTCCGAAGAATGGCACTTCCATCGTGCCGTAAGTCGCGATATGCGAAATCGTGCAGTAGCAGCTATGAATTAAGGAGTTAAAGTTCAAGGCAAATGTCTACACAGTTTTCCGAGTCAAACGCGCAAATTTTCCTTTAAGAAATTAATTAGTTTAATATATATGTAATAAAAATTAGGATTCTTTTTGTTAAAACATTTTGCAATATAGAGGAAAGTATTGTTATGTTATGAAATAGGTTTCTAATATGAGATAGCAGGTTCTCAACACGCAAATTCAATCACAAATCTTTTTTTTCGCTTCAAGGGCAATAAATTCATGGTGGAATGATGCCTATTAATTTAGCGGAAACCCCTCTATCCCGTATTAGGATCCTATCTCATAATAGGGGACGTTCCTCTATGTATATAACATTACATGGATACTAACTTTAGTAAATCAAGATTTGTCAAGTACCAACGCAAATTTGCATTCGTCGACTTTGATGTATATATTATAGATAGCTAATTGTAAGTATGTATCTATGCTATCAAGATATATATGTATGTATGTACACGTATACGTTCAGCCGTCTGGTGGAAAGGTCGTAGAGTCGCGATCCAGAGTGACTCTCGCTATCTTAATAGAGTTTCAGGACGTTAAAAGCTCTTGGTCTCTGCACACGTATCCTTCCTTCCTTTCACGAACTAGCGTGGCGAATGATTTCCGACGGATCGAGTATTCGACGCGTCGCAGAAATCAATCGGAGACGTCAAGACGTTAATTCGATTCCGTGGATTTACGGCGCGGCCAGTTAGGATCGAATGGAGAACGTGCCACATGATTTCCTCCTTCACCATTCATTATTGATAGGAGATTATAAAATGCTGTTCATCATTTAAAACTCGGAAGCTTTTCTGAAGCTTCTTCTGCAAAATCAACGTTTTTGGAAAATGAGATAAGATAGAACGTAAGTTTTTTTTCTTAAATTACGAATGTTTCTGTCGAAATGATATTCGTATATGCTTCAGATTACAATACATATTATTAAATTACAAAATTTACATAATGGCAAAAACATGATAATGTATTACATTTCACACACAAGTTATTAATATATGCATTATTATTCAAACTAAGTAATATGGTTATATAATTTCTTTCATTATAAATTTTATATAAAATATGCACATATAAATTTATTCTATGTAACGTTAATATAAATAAATCTTGATCAAATCGTCAAAAACTAATAATTCCTTTATCAGTAATCTTGAACAAAGAGTTAGTCAGGATTCTGACCTGTACTAATTATAAGTTTTCTCAGAATCGACAAATACAATCTCGTATACGTATAATATATTTGCACAGTTGCGCAAATGTATGAAATTTCATTTATATCCTCAGGTTATTCGTAGGTATTATGAAAATAATTAAAATATTTAATCCGTACATACGCGAACGTGTTCTCTATGTGAACTCCTCAAGTCTCTCGTTCTATTTCGAGATCATAAGCGTGGACAAGAAGATAGAGAAAGCCGGTTAAACGGCGGGATTTAAATTCCGAGTTGGCAACATACCCTTCCGAAAGCACGGATTTAAGTGTCATTTCCTGCTACTCTCCTCTTTATTTCCGTAACTATATTTGTTAACGTTTCCTCACAAACATGTCACGATGAAATGAAATCTATGGAAAACACGCAATTATTTCTAATAATCGTCTTTCCATCGCAATCATTATATTTTGCGGTGTTAATCTGCATTGATTTATTTTACGTTTTTCGAAATTGGTAACACAATATCCTCATTATGATTATTTTACTCCGCACTTCTCATGTGTGTTTTGTAATTAAATAGATTGTAATTTGTTTCCGAATCATACGAGAATATCCATCTACTAGCGTTGCAATAAGAAAACTTTAAATTGACCGTGATGCGTCATCGCTCCATTGTTTATATTTAAAAAATATTGCGTAACAAGAAAAATTCATTTTGCAGAGGCGAGGAGAAACGTGACGAAGAACGAGTTGTTACTAGCATTGTCCGAAAATCGTCGTCAGCATAAACATATGCGAATACTGTCCACTATGAGGATGGCATTGTGCCAGCCGAGAAAGTTTCACCGCCACGATTGTGCAGGCGCCGAAACTACCGGGAGAAACGAAATGGGTGCGGACGCAGAAAACTCGTCTGAACGTACATACACAAACAAATTACATACGGTTATGCTAGCGAAACACTGTTCTGAAAGCTGAGTAACGGCTAGGAAAAGAGAGTAGCGAGAGGATTTTCGTTCGACGTTCAAGTTTGGCGAATGAATTTGAGATTTGTGATAGATTGCAACAGTTATGAGTTGCGACCTAGCTTTCGCGTGTATTTCCTTCTTTTAAAGAAATTTTGCAGCGGTTTGATTTCAGCAAAAATTTTAACTGGCGATTGTATTTATTATTTTCGGTTCTAATGTTGCTTTTACTTATCTAAACAGTAATTTAATAAAATTTCTAAAAATCGCGCACGCGCGAGTTTGAAATAGGATGGAAACACTAGTTTTAGGATACTTGGTCTACGTCTGTATATTAAAAAGAAATGAGAAATGGGAAAGTTACTTTGTTACTGTTACAGTTACAAAAGACAAAAAGTAACGTCGTTATCAGTCCGTTAGCAAAAAAGTAACTTGCAACGGTAACGGCTTTACTTGCATACCCTGAAAGAAATGATCAATGACGACATACATAATTAAGTCTAGTTTAATATAGATTTAAGATTAATATTCGCTTGAAAAGAGGAGAGGCAAAGCGATTTTTATCAAAGCAACGAACTCGATGCACCAACTTAAAGGAAGTGCAATTTTCTTGGCGCTCGGAAAATTTGCATTGCATGGTCAGAATGCACTCTTCTTTTATAAGCTTCTTAAATTGGCGCCTGTACTGAAATGGAAGCCGTGGCAAGCGGACAAAGATAGTCGCGAGTGGTTTCAGCGGGATGAACATTCAAGAGCGCCAAGTTCATTTCGGGACTAAGCCGTCGGGATGTCCTACCAACGCGGCGCCTCAGTCGAAATGGCAAATTCGAGAGAGCCAAATGAGGTGACAGGGTTATGAGAGAGATGGAGAAGTTGACGGAAGTCGTAGAAAGAGATTTAACGGATATATGCTCGTGCGTATATCATTGGAGAATATTATTCGTACAGAGATCAAATTAATAATTAAAAATCAGGTAAGATGTTAACGATCGCGTGTTTATTTAGGATTTAGAACGAGTGTGGTCTCTTCCGGTTCTTGCAATTAGTTGAAGATAGTTGAAAATTCCAACGAGAGGCATGAAAGTGCAAACAAGAAAGAGTAGAAAACAGATCTCTCAATCTATAATTTAAGAACAGACGGAAACAAATGTAGCTGCCGTAGCTAAAGCCTGCGTGTGGTAACTAAATTTCAGTTGTAAAATCTGGACAGGTAATATTTATTATAGTTGTGATAGCTAATACTTTGCTACTGTGCTTATTGTATTAGGACAACAAACCTTTGCTTAATGCAGCAAAATTGTGTTTCTAGTGCGTTTTTCCGTAAACGTTTATTTGAAACATCTATTTATCCTTGACACGTTAAGTGAAAAGCGTTTTCTATATGTATGTAATGTTGAAGTATATTTAAAAATAATGTATCAAAATGTCTGAAACAAAATAGCTTGCGTGAGTGAGGTTGCAAGAAAATGAATTTAATCCATTAAATCGGACGAATGTCGGATCATATCTCTTTAGTTCACCAACATATTTCTGCCAACGCGTTCGCCCGACCAAGCCGTGCGAATCGCGATGAGAGGTACAGGTGAGCGAATAACCAAGCGTGTGCGCTCAGTGACTGATAAACTCAGACACGACGACGGACGTACGATCATGCGCGAATGGATATTTCATCGACACGGGTTAGCTGAATTGTGCATGTGTGGCGCGTGTGGTGCGTCGAACGTGTGGTGCACATCCAATTGGTTTGTATGACGATTATCAAGGGTGCGACGCACGTTCGTCGCCTGCGCACGCGTGGCCGGTTCAATTCACGTGCTGCGTATGTATGAATGCACGACTGCGAGGAGTGCGGGGACACCGTTGCACTTTGGCGCGGGTGTTCCGGAGGAGCACCATCATGTTTACAGGTGAGAGCGTGCGGCGCGGCGCGGCACAGTAAATGGAATAGGAGGCAAGACGGAAACACTCGCCGCCGCGCCGCGGAGACGGAGGTAAAGTAAATTGCTACAAGACGGATCATAAATATCTCGGAATAGCGTTATATATGTGCAAGCCTTCGTTAGGACGGGCAGCACCACACAGCTTGCTCATAGATTCCGCATCCTCCTCGCTGTACGATGCGAATCAATGGCGTAGGCAGCTGCTGCAGCCAGCTGTTACGATATTGTCGATAATGGGGGATCTTGTAAAGTCGACTGTTCTGAACCAGTTGAACATTGTATCCTTGGCCAAGCGTACATTCTCGTAATAAGCTTGATCAAGCTCTGTAATACAGATAGGTGTCAAGTAATATATATATATATATTCTTTTTATAAAAAACTAAAGTAGTTACAACATTGCAACGTTGAGCCTTATAAATTGGAACAATCAATTTATTATGTCGGCTCCTTTCAGCAAACGATGCGAAATAAACAACAATCTCGACATCTGCGCGATGTACCCAACTGTCTCCAAGAATCGGTATCTGGGCCAAGGACGGCTTATTGCACTCAACACAGTTGCATAGTACGCGCGCAGGGTACAATTAATGGTGCAATTTAGCCCGGGTCAAGAGTCGCTCTCGCCGTTCACCAGAACGATATGGCCGAGGAGGAAGAGACGAGCTCGTTGGAGGATAAGGAAAGCTGATAGTACGCTAGTTTGGAAGAAAAACGTGCAAAGAGAATGTGCGAGTAGAGCAAAAGAATTTCGTTAAAATAAAAACGAGATAGGTATTACGTAAGCTTACCATAGTCGGAGTAGTCTCTTTCAAGAATTAACCTATCCACACCCTTTCGTCGCCTTTTCACAGATATTGCTTTCTCTTTCTGGGATCACTTTCTAATTGATTTTTTCAAACATTCAATATTTGGCCTCTTCCGACGATACCAATTGGATATTACTAAAGTTCATGAATATGCAATATTTCGTTAAATTATCTACTCAAGAACAATAATACAATTATATTATATTTTAGACGGTCAATAGCTTCATTATTATGTTTTCTAGTTTAATTTAAGTATATTCATACTCGTATTCATGAATTTTAGTATCTCAAATAATATTGCGCGTGTGTATGTTACGCGTGCTTTATTAAAAATAATATATCTATAATTTTAACACCTTTCATTCGAGTCCATTTGAATTTTTATTATTTCTAAATTGGATTAACACATTTATTGCTTTGCGTCTTTTTAAATTACAATCTTTTCTATGTAGAGCTCGCACGATGAATGTTAGGAACAAAGACGACAATCGCGAAATAATTGTCGATAACAGTAATAGATGATTTTTATCTTGGCTGTAACTTTATAGAGAGAACCGGCTCGCAATAAACGTCGGTTCTGTGTGTAAACATCGATATTGGCATGAGGGGATGGTTTGACTAACTGCTACCGACATCCTTTCGTTGTTCTCGAACGATTTTAGTATATCTTTAAGAGAATGTTCGCTTTCTACATTATTTAACAACATTTCTTAACCACTGGTTGAAGCATTAGGCGTCGACAAAACGTTTTCTATAAAATTCGTGATAAGCGTTGAAATTTTCATACTTCTGAACGTTTGGCCAAACTTTTTTTTACGAAATAACGGGACAAATTTGTTTTAGAATAAAATTAAATTTTTAGTTGCTTAGAAGTACATTTGAAACTTCAAGAATTCCCCTCCCCTTCCCCCACATACCCATATAATTTATAAAATAGAAACTATCAAATAATGAGATCGAGCAAATATACATTTTGAGAACGTTGTCGATAAAAATCGTCATTTTCAGTAAGTACAACTCTCGGTATAATTCTTTACGATGGCAACGTTATGAGCTTCAAGCCAAGCCTGTTGTAGTTGAGCATACTCAAGAATCTTTCTTTTTTTTCCCGGCATTCACGTCTTCGCAGGCTGAGTGCCTGCTAACACTTTCGAACGTGAAGAATGCGTCTCGTCCGTGGATTATATCCTCGGTGAGTTGCGCGTGCTCGAGCACGCGCCGCACCGTTTCTTCCCACTTCGTGTCTCGCAATCTCCTTGTAATTGGAGCCTCTCGCATCACCCCGCTGCTCCGCGATTTCCTTGTGATTGAAACGACGTCGTGTATACGACACGTTGTTTGGAATTCACGAGCAAAATTGGTTCTCGCGTATATATTACCTACAAGACACCGCAATCAGACACTCATTCGCGATTAACAGTCTCATTGTCGTATTGTCAAGTGTAAAATATATCAAATTTAGGTTGAAATTGCACATGGTCCAAGGCTTCGTTTGATATTGCATGTTTGTAAATTATTTGGGCGAATAAAATATGTAGACACAATCCATTTTTATATCTTTGATTTACAAATTGCAGTGTTACATTATTGGTAAATGTACACGGAAAAATGCTGTTAAACTAAAAAAAAAAAATGAAATTGCTTGAATTAAACGTTAACGTCACCGGCTACCACAAACATAAATAATCCACTCAATTATATTTGCTATGGATTTTAATTTTAACCATTGAACTAAATATCCAAATTATTAAGATAACTATCTGATGTTTCTCATTCATTAATACTGACGTTATTTCAACGAATTTATTTCAATTACACTGATCTTGATACATAAATTTCAAACTTAATGCAAACATTTTACAATTATAACGTCGCACGGAATGTCAAGAAAATTTTTAATTTTGGTTATTTCTTTTTTTTTCTTAATGTTGACAAAATTATCGGAGAATTTCTTCCGCATTGCGGTATTATACAATTAAACAGTAAAAGTTGCAACCAATATTATTACAATTTTAACGGATATTCGAGAGGGAGAGAGGGGGAGGGGCGCAAAGGAGAGGGAGAAGGAGAGGAGGGGGAGGAGGAAAAGAGAGAGAGAGAGAGTTTCGCTGTTAAATAAAGAATTCGTGTTTGAATTAGTTTCATGTTGCTTTGTTTGAGAATGAAAATTATAGGTGGTTACTGGAGAATGGGACAGAGTTTCAAATGTACTCAAAGACTTGTCCGCCGCAGAACGAATTTTTCCTCTGTAATGATAGATAACGCAATTTTGTCGTTAACTTTTACAGCACAATAACAAAAGTATTAACTTTTAATAAAAATTCAGTTTTTATATCACGTATTGCCCGTTACCATTGTATATTAGAGATTTAACAAAATGTATTATGTGACACAAATAAAATAATGTAGCAAAATATTAAATTCTCTCTCTCTTGTGCTTTTTCTCTACTCAATGCAATACGATATTAAAATTCTATGAATATTGTAAGAGTTGTTAATAAATTCATTACCGCCACATTAATATGTATCCGAAAGTAAAATTAGGTACAAGTGTTATAAAATTTGTTAGATAAAATCGTTTCCAAGAATTCACTTTCATGGATGTGACGAACAATTGCACTACGAGAAGGAAAATGTAGATCGCTGGTCAAAATGACAATGAAATCACTGGGACGTCGGAGGAAATAGGAACACGTGCCATATCAAATCGTGACAGTGAACATCGTTTATCTCCTTGAGATAGGAAGCCTCGAGATGTGTAAAAGTACGCGTTCTTTTCTAGAAAATGAAAAGAACCTAAGATGAATGAATTCGCGTAATAGAATAAAACGAGCTTGAGGACAGTACGATGGTTTGCCGGATCCATTAGACCCTCTTTCGTGTCTGGCGACCCACAAAATAAAGCAACATCGATTAATTCACCTTCTATCTCTTCAAAGAGGCACCTTATCAATCTGCGATGCTTCCTCGATTTGAATCCCGTCCCGACCTTTATTACTGACAAATTGTCATTAATAGCGTTAAAATCTCAGCTATCTTTATTTTCTAGATCTCTCGCTTCAACAGAAATTTCGCATTAATTACGTAGTTGCGAAACAAGTCATTAATTCTATACGCCATTCGCTGATAGAAATTATCGTCGTTGGAAGCTCTAAATATTTACGGTCGGAAATTACAGCCGACCAGGCATGTCGAAAAATTCATGTTGACTTACTGTCCTTGTCTCGCAACTGGAAGCTGGAGCCCCTTTTGACAGGAGTGGCTTAATGCAAATTTCACGGGACGACTGGTGTCATAAAAGCCGCGGTTTAGATATCAATTTATCACCGCTTTCTGCTCGGTAATATCGCATTATTTCCTACCCTTTCTGGTCCTCGCGGCCGGCAACAATGGCGATGGGCAATCAATAGCACTCACAACCCACCTCTCTTTCGCGCACCTCCCTCTGTACTCCCTCAACCCTGCCGCATCGTTCAGCCTGGAGGGAACTTTTGGTCATTTTTCATCCTCATGTCCTATCGACGGCCGACATTACAGTATGAAGACTGACGTGTACGCCATCGATGTGCGAGCTATGCACGCATTACTGCTTCCATTCTTCGTATTAACCTGTGGGGGGGGGGGGGGGGGGGGGGGAGGGAGAGTACAAGAGAGAGAGAGAGAGGCCGAAAACATAGTGAAATAGATAGGCACGGATTAATTTCGCGTATGAAAGCGTCTGCTAAACAAATTGTATGATTTTTAAGTGTTCTATGTATTTTAGTGTAATTGAAAGGAACACATTTCGCATTGTATATATACAATTTTCAAAATATCCATTAACCGATATGAGTTTTATCCTACTGTGTACACATCAGACTCCACAATTAAGAATAATATTATTCGGTAATTACTCGAAATTCTACTAATAAGTATATTAAAAATGCAATGTATCGAACGAATTAAGCCAAGTAAGATTTCTTAATTATGTGATTATAATGTAAAAAAAATGGAAACAATTCTCTTCAGCGCTGTATATTAACGGGAGCCTTCAACTTGTATCGGATTCATATCGCAGAAATTATGAAACCGATATTATGATAACGCCAAAGGTAGTGGGTGAAGGTACAGAGTAGGTTCGAGATATCGCAGCGAGCCCAGGAATGGTTTGTGCAATAAAGAGCAAGAGCGCATATAAGCCGCGGCTGTTAGTTCGCAGCCTGGTCACGACACGGATAGGTTGCGGCATGAGGCGGTTTCCATGGAGGACAGGGCAGCCCGGAGACTGGAGAGACTGCATTATGCATCCAAAAGTGGCTGGCTACACCCAGCTGCGATTGGACTCCTAATGTGATCCGTGCACAGGGCACGCTTCCTCGTAGAATATTCGACGTCTGATAGTGTGCAGAAAAGTACCATATCTGGCAGATTAGCACCCTATTTTCAGAAATCCGATATAATTGATAGAAATCTGACTCTTCTTTTAAAAGAGTTTTGTAGTACGTTTTAAAAGAGAGTACCAACAACATAAAATATCAAATATAAAACGTCGGAAATATAGGAGAAACCGACTTCTTTCTATTGTATAAAAATTTAGTAACGATTTTATCTTTTCACGCAGTATCGATTTAAGTTTCGATGTTTTTCGAGCTTCAACGAACACACCATTGTAATCCTCAAAACTGGCAACATTGAATTAAATTCACGCTTGCTGCGCCGTACTTACGGATTTCAACTACTCGATTGGGAAGAAAGTCAAAGAGTCTCAAGTTTCTCGGCACCTTACTATTATATACATAAATACGACTGTGATTGCGTGAACGAGAAAGAGAGAGAATAAGAGAGGACCAGAGAAAGGAGAAGCTAGGACTGCGAGAGTAAAGGAAGAAGATAGAGGGAAGAAGATCGGGGGCGAAGATCCTGTCTGTTCACTCGTGTGTAATTATTCGAGGGCATGTACAGAAACCGTCATGACACCGTCGACAGATCCTGTCGGC